GTGAGACAGCTGCAGACATACTTTGGGCAAACACCAAGGGTTGCAGGTGGTCAGCCCCGTGGGAGAAGATAAAGCCCAGGAGCGAAGGGGAGTAGGAAGAAGTGTTAATTGCAGAAAGGTCTAGGCCATATTTCAAGTGACATTCATGTGATGGCTCCCATGGGAGCGGTGACCCACCTCTCCTGCAGGTTGGCCTGGGTAGGGTACGTGCCTGGTATTGTGAGAAGGGCTTTGGAACCCATGGTTCCCATTGGTGAGGACCTAATAAACCCATCTGTTTGGTGCCAGACGCGGGGCCAGGTGCCTCCATGGGCCATCTCTTTGATTCTTATCAAGTCTAAGTCTGCTGCTTAGGTTCCATCGGGACATGAAAGCTCGGAGAGGCTAGGACACGGCGGAGGTGGGACTGAAACCTAGGTTTCTAAAAACTGTTTGTTACACCACTCATCTGGGGGTCTTTCTCGACGATGATCTATGCTCACTACAGGCCCCTGTCCCAGGGGTCTGAGCAGCTGCGAGGTGAGTCTTCAGTATGCGTAGGAATCCCCTGGGATCTTGTGAAAATTCAGATTGTGAGTCCTTAGGCCTGAGTGAGCCTTGAGAGCCTGCATTTCTAATCTGCTCCCAGGTGATGTGATGCTGCGTGTCCACAGGCCATACTTTGAGTAGCAATGCTCCAAACAGAGTATGACAAGCATATGTCATCAGGCTGTCGGGCGGTTTTCAGAGGCCATGTTACTCCCTTCCCCCCTTATGCTCCCCAAAAAAGCACAAGCCCACCGCACCTTGCCCGGGTTAATTACAGGTGGCTGTGCAGTCTCACCTCTCCACTCCCAGCTTCTCTGGCCACTGGCTATTCCTGAAAGGTCCTCTCCCACCCCATTTCTCCACCTAGTGGGGTCTCTTACTCAACCTTTAGGACCAAACTCAAATATTGCCTTCTCTATGAAGCCTTCCCTGTTGCTCTGACCACATAGCTCTAGTTTCTTGTTTGCACATGAGACGGTGCCTGGAGAGACGGAGGGAAGAGCCTGTACCTTGGCCCTCCTTCTGCTGGAGTCTAGCACAGCCCGCACATAGGAATAGTAAGGATTCAATAAGAGAGTGTAAAGAGGGAAAGGCCGAGGGAAGGAGGCCCATCCCACACTGGGGTGGCTAGCTTGACCTTTCTTACAGTCTCCCTGACAGGTACCATGACCGGGTCCTGGAGTTCTTTGGGGCCCAAGCCAGAGTTCTCCACCGGCAGGCAGCCGGGCCTGGCCTATGTGTTTCGCAGGTCAGGGCACGGGTGCTGTGTTTTGTCCCTCTGCTGGGCCCAGGAGGCCCCCAGTGCCAGGATCCGTGATCAGAGGCCACTGCTCTGGACTCCCAACTGTTGGTATTAGAGGCATTTGGCTTATCTGAGGAACTAAAAATAATGCCGATGAGAATGAGAATAACAGCCCTAATTACCACCATTACCATAAAGGCGCTGTCATTGGGGTGGTGGGGGAGGAGTCAGAAAGAAATAAATCTTCCTATTCATTAGTCTTGGGTGAATCATTCCACGTGTTACTGGCATTCACACCTGCTGCAGTGTGTGCCCAGCCAGAGGCGAGCCATGCTTGCTGATGCATGTGAATATATAAGCTCCCACAAGGGAATGTGAGCAAGGGTCCAGCCTCAATACTGTGTGCAGACTTGGGCACCTTAGTCCCCACCTTGGGTTATCATATTCTTAGTGGATATGATAACCAAAGTCCCTGTAGGAACCTCATTCAGGCCTGTTCTCAGGTGACAGCATCTTCCTCCCCAACTATGTACGAGAACGGGAGTTCATCAAGGAGAGAGGCATTTCCCTGAGCCCCATCCCACCCTCTGCAACATTCAGGACTCAGCCCTGGATGCGTGGGGCAGATGCAGAACAAGACGAAACAAGCTGCCTGTCCTCAGCAAACTCCCCATCTTGGGGAAAAGTGCCAGAACCTACAATCACACCCAATACCTATTCTTTAAAAACAAAGACTACCACGGATCCAAGTGTGGTCCAATAACCAGCCGCATCAGATTCACCTGGAATGCTTTTAAAGAATGCATATCCCTCTTCCTATAGCTCGATCTACTGATTTGGCATCTTCGAGGATGGAGCCCAGAACCACGTGTTTTAACAAGCTCTCCCTGTGATTTTCATGCCTCCTAAAGTTTGTAGACTGCCAAGTCCTAGAGGGTGCGGTCAGAGGTCTGCCAAGCTCTGGCGGGCTTGATGGAGGGAAAGCAACAATGGGGCACAGGGCGAGGACAGGGTCCTGAGGCAGCTGCCTGTTTGACTGAGCAGAGGGTTTCTGATACCCATTAGGGGTCATCTGCCTGCTTGAGATAGGAAGTGCTGCTCTTGGAAGATGCTGCCTAGGCCTCCATATCCCTCCCTAGACATTTCCAGAAAGCTAGAGTCACTGTGGCCAGCTGAGGGGTTTCTGGATTGACTAGAGAGAGAAGGAGGCCGAGGGAGAATAGCTATTGGCCGTCATCTCTGTCAAGCCCACCCTTTTACCTGCATTCTCACTCACAGATGAGCTGGGCCTGAAGCTGGTTGAGGGCTGTAGACACAGCTGAAGTGTCTCCTACCTGTACACAGCTCGCTTGTCAGCCTCCAGCTGGGCCTGGGGGTCGATGGGGGCACTGGGTACAGGTGTGCTGGCAGCAGCTGAGGGGGCAGAGATGTGGACAGCCTGGGCCTTGGAGGGTGGCTGGGTGGTTGCCGTCATCTGCAGAGAGAAGAAAGGGGAGATGGTGGGTTAGCATGGCCAAGGTACTGGTCTCCAGGCTGTAGTGTGAGGTCTGCCTTGGCCTGTGCTGTGCCCTGAAGAGAGCATGTGGGCAAGAGAACTGTGAGCACACAATGAGCATCCATTCGTATGTGTGCTACAGTGGGGAGAAAAGCTGGCTTTCTTCAAATGAGCATGTTCTAGAAAACAACTTCAGCCATCCAAAACCAGGAGATGCCCAGCACACTCTGAAAAGAGATGACTCTTAATGCAAATATGGTAACCCTTGCCCAGAAGGAGAAAAAAACAATAGGATGAACCCTTTAAATTGTGCTTATGAGTCGTCTGGACCATCATACAGTTGATTTGATGACTTTGAAAAGCAGGAATAAAGGAGCTGAATCAGCTGTCATTTGGACACAGGTTTATTTATTCCCTTTAATGCAAGCCACAGGCAATGGTCCCAGCGGTTTTGACTGAATGGCTCTCCAAATTTGGTTTACCTGGCCACTTCAAGACAAGCAGTCTTTAGTGGGCAATGGACAGATTCTTGTTCTTGGCCATAACAAATATTTAGGGCAGGGGTTTTCATAATCTGTGACATGTTTATGAAGGTGTCCCGAGGTCGGCAATTTTGTACCAACCAGAGCAACTCCTTTTAATACTATCTATTAGATTTTCTATCTAAGGTTTTATTTAAAGAAATGGTTCAATGATTTAATTTTTTTAAAAAAACCATCATTATGGAGTTTCATGCTTTTTTATTTCCTTCAGTCAAAGAAATGTCTACAAGTGTGAATGATGATAAGCCTCAACTGATCTCTTATACCACCCTGTCCATAGTACGATGGTAGCTCTCTCCACATGTGGTGTTGGGCTTCATGTACTTATCTGTCTTCTCCTCTGAGGCCTTGTTCCCTCCTTCATAGATAGCTTCCAACTGACACATACTTAGTAAAAAGGTTTGATGCTTATTAAAAATACTTGCGGAGAAAATGAGTGAGTAAATAAATGAATGAACGTGCCTTGAAAGAATCAGATATTTTATAGTTGCAAAGTTCATCATATGAATCTAGGTCCCTGCTTTCTGGAAGAAAAAGTATTATACTTCTGTGAATACAAGCATTGCTGGTGCATATATCCCCAAGACATTTGCATGTCTTCATTTAGATCTCTTCATTTAGATCTCCGCTCAGATGCCACCTCTTTGGAGTATCATACAGCCCCTCCGCCTTTTGCTTTATTTTTCTTCATAGCCCTTACCATGACCATATTCTATATTTATGTGCTTATTGATTTTCTCTTCACTCCCAGCTAAAACGTAAACTCATGGAGTGATTGTAACAGTTGAATTCGTAGGGCCCAGAATAGCCTGGCACTAGTAGGTGTTCAATAAATATTTGTTGAATCAATGAATAGATGAATGATGGATGGTGAATGAGATTGAGACTGTAAAAGAAATGTACCTGCTTTCCTAGATTGTATCATTGTTTATTAGGCAGAAATACCCTTGCCAGTGTCGGCTGATCTGGGGGAGCCTTTCCAATCTCAGTGGGTAAGAGGCTAGACATAGCATCATGGTGCCTGGAAGCCAGAAGACAACTGTTTGAATCCTACCGTCTCCCCCTATTAGCCTTTGACCTTGGGCAAATTCTTTAACTTTCCTAAGCTCCTATTTTCTCATCAGTAAGAAAATTGGTGACCTTTTGGAATTCATGAGTATTAAGGAGGTGCTGTAAGAAAGAAAGTAGAAGCAAATGCTGTTCCAATTTTCAAAATAGAGAAAGAAAGTGAATTCTGAAAAAGCTAAAACCCAGTCATCTTCACACTTATCTGGGCCAGATTCATCCCTTCATTCACTAACGCAACTGATCACTTCTTCAAATACTTCTTGAGTCCCTGCCATGTACCAGGCACCATGCTGGGCACTGGGATCACAAAGACGAGAGACTGCTATCAGAAAGCTCAGTTCGTGGATCTGACATGATCATTAAGCTTGCAGATCAGGAAAACATGGTGTAAGCGACCTCAGCAAGGTATTTCCCATGATAGCCTGGCAGAAAACGTGGAGAGACGCAGCCTGGTGGACAATTGCATGGATTAGCAAACTACACCCAAGGGATGACAATTAAAGGATAGATATCAGTTTGGGGCAGGTTTCCAAAAGAGTGTCACATGCTTCCTCCTTATCCTCTTATTCAGCACTTTAATCAGTGATTTAGAGAACGTCTAAAAAAATGCTCAACAAATTTACGAATGCCGTGAAACTGGGATCCAAAAGATCTTTACAGATTTTGGCAAGGGGCTAAATCTGATAAGATTAATCTTCATCTAATAAGTTAAACTTTAACACTTCTAACATTTGGGCCAAGAAAATCCAATATTGAAGTGCAGGGAGGAAGAGACATGGCTTAATAGCCGTGTTTTAGTTGACAGCTGGCTCAGTGTATCCAAAGTGTAATGTGTCTGTCAAAAAAATCCAACCTAAACTAATGCTAGCTGAGGATGCATTAACAGAGGCATTGCTCACAGCATGCAGAAACTTCTGGTCTTGCACTACTCTGATTAAACAAGTACATGAAAATACATTCAAAGCAGAGTCGGCCAGGATGGTAAAGGGGTTCGGTACTTCGTTGTATGAGGAATATTTGAAGGACCCTGGAATATATAAGCAAGATTTGGAGGATGGGGGAGAAGAGGAGACATGAAAGCCCCCTTTGAATATCTGAATGAGGGGATTTGATTATATCAGTTCTGTATGACTCGAAGGGCCGAACTACAAGCAATGCATTTGATCTATAACAAGGAGACAACCTAAATAATACTTTTCCAATCCCCCAACTCTTTAAGGCTGGAATGGGCTGCTTCCCTTTCCAGGTGAATTTCCTGCCACTGCAGAGGCCAAGTAGAGTCGGACTGACCAGCTGGGCCACTGTGGAGAAGATGGGAGCTTCAGCTGGGTGGCTGGGTTACATGATAGCTGAAGTCCCCTCCAACTCCAACAGGCTCAGACACCATGAGGGTGTTTTAATAATCACCACCCACCACACAGTGCTGGTGTGAGGCTCGGATTTGACGATGTGTAGTATGTAAAAGTGCTTTGGAAACTCTAGAGCGCTTCACAGATGGAGGAGAGGTTGTTATTATTAAACATGAGATTTCCGGAATGTACTTCTGCCATAAAGCAAGGCATAGCTACATCTGCACAGCTCGTTTGAGGGTGACATGTAGGGGGAAGAGTGTGCTCTGCTCTGCCCACTAGGAGTGAGTTTCCTCATGTCCTTGAAGGAATCCACAAACGGCTTCTGTTAGCTGAGCTCCTGGGATGAAGAGGGATGAAGCAGGATGAAGTCCCCCTCCTAGGCAGGAGTTCGGGGAAAGGTGGGTGGGGAAGGCCCTGGTGGGTGAAAGAGGAAACCTCAGAATAAAATGTAAATCAAAAGCGGTCACTTGCCAGTGTCCTAAGAGGCCCCAGCTGAGAGGCTGTGACTGGCAGAAGTATGGAAAGAAGACAGCAGAGCTGGTCTGAGGAGGACGATGACTCAAATTTATATAGCTCATGGGGGCCAAGTCAGCAAACTGTGCATTTCCTGCAGGTTTGGAGAATGAGTGTTTATCCCCAAATAGGTTTCTTTTTCTAGCCAGAGATATCCACTTCCCAAGAATTGGAGCTCAAAGGGAGAGGACCTGCAGCTGTCCACAGGGCTTGGGGGCCAGGAGGATGGGAATAACTTGAATTTTTGGGGGGGAATTTACTGGGCAGCACAGTCTAAAAAGTAGGCTCAGGTGTGAACCAGGCGCAGGCCGTGGCTATTAAGCAGTGGGCTGAAACTGCCTTGTTCTGGCCTGTGAAAGCCAATTGTTAAATCTTCAGAAATTTTGCAAATTGGTTGACATCACATTGGGAGCTTGAAATTGGCCATGGTGGGAGCATTTACACCATGGAAATTGGCAAATGCTGCAAATCAGGGCTTGCCCCAGCGCTCCCCACCCCCACTCTCAGAGAGCAAGTTGTTAAATATTTACTAGCACATCTCTAATTTCAGTTTTTCCCCAAGTAGCTTTCTTCCATTCTTTTTGGTCTGGCATGGGAAGAAACTCATCTTATTCACTGCAGGAGGCCACTTGGTGCATTCACAGCTGGTCTCAGAACTGGCCACTCCAGATTTGGAGCTTTTCTCCAAGGAGCCCTCAGAGCACTCTGGAGACCCTGCCCTGGCAGCCCGCTAGGGAAAGGGACAGGTAGGCATCAGTGCAGGCATGGAGGACTGTCCCTTTTCAACCAGGGGAAGCTCAGGCAACGTTGAACAATGTCCTGAGAACTGCCCGGGAGATCAGAAAAGCCTCAGAGAATGGAAAGAGCAGAGGATCCGGCCCTGGGTTTGATGCTCCTCTGCCAATTATTAGCTACGTGTTTTGGGACAAGTTTCCTGATCTCTTTGGTTTCCTAATCTGTAAAATGCAGGAGATAATACTCACTCTGCAGGTTGTGCTGATTAATCAAGAGAACCAGACAATGGTTACTGGTGGGGCAGGAGGCAACATTCCCTGTGGAGGCCCCTATCAGATGTGACACTGTGCCAGCACCTACACACATGCTAATAAAATATTTCTGGAGTGGGTGCAGTGGCTCACACCTGCAATCCCAGTGCTTTGGGAGGCTGAAGTGGGTTCTGTGCTTCCCATGTCCTCTCTTGGCCTAGAGTTCTTTCTTGGGGCAAATATCCTGGGGCCATCACCTCCATGCACTTCCCTCCTGTAGGTGCTATAACCACTGGACTTCTCTCTGCCATCTAGCCAGAACCAGTTCTGCCTTAAGCTTGCAGCTAAGGAAACCCTGATTCTTGGTTTGAATCAGATTCTTGGTTTGAAGGTTCTTTCTTTTCCCATTCTAAAAAGGAGTGGGAAGAGTTGGGAGTTTTCAGATGTATATGCAGGTGTGTAAAATCTGGGTGGGGCTGAGAGATCCAGCCACGCTGGCAGTCTGGTCTTCTACTCAT